GGATTTATGGGTCGTCACCGTCACCCCGGCAGACGTGGCCCTGTAACGGGCTGCCCAGCGCGGCAGCTCCGCAGCGAGCGCTTTAACAAGTGTCGGTGAAGTGTTTCTCAAGTGGTTCATTCCAGGCTGGGAAAAGGCCGCTCTGATGGTGAAACAACGGGCTGTGGTTTCCAGCTGGCAGGTGATTTTGGTCCTTCGCGGATGTTTCAAGGTGCTGGGGTGCTGCTGGTGCACAGCCTGCGGGAGGGCGAGCTTCCAGGCTGGGAAAAGGCCGCTCTGATGGTGAAACAACGGGCTGTGGTTTCCAGCTGGCAGGTGATTTTGGTCCTTCGCGGATGTTTCAAGGTGCTGGGGTGCTGCTGGTGCACAGCCTGCGGGAGGGCGAGCTGCCAGTGGCCTGCGTGGAGACGGGGACAGGAAGTTTTAAGGTCAGGATTTATTATTTGTGGGAATTCATCGCTGCTCTCAAGGTGTTGCAAGTGTCCTTTGCAGAAAGCGTGGCTGGAGCTGCGTGGTCGGGGCAGACAGAGCGGTGCTGTGCAGGGCTGAGCCTGGCAGGAGCAGCCAGGGCTTCCCCCCAGCACCAGCTGCAGCCCGCGTGTCCGAGGGGAAGGCGTGAGGAACCGGAGCAGAGCTGGGGAGGAGGATTTAAAGCGGGGAGGAAGGCTCTCACGATTCCTCCTGAGCTATTGCAGCTGGGGGAGGCAGAGAGCGATGGTGAAACGTAAAGGTGAGGCGAAGTGAGAACGGATTGCAGCGATTTGTAAGATCTGCAGGGTGACAGCGACTGAGCAGCCGGGCGAAGGGAGGGCAGCGAGCGAGCTGCGAGGGGCGGCAGGTCACAAATAAACGACGCAGCTGCGTTCGGGGCTGTCACAGGCAGCGCAGGCGGGGAGCTCCGGCTGGACAGAGAGAACTTTCACGCAGCAAAGGTCAGAGCGAAGCCATTTCACAGCAGTTTTTCATTAGCTTCTCCACAGAATTAATGACACAAACTCCTCTGCTAGGCAGTACTGAAATATTTGACCTATTTTTCCACTTTTAAGGCTCACTTAAAAAGTTGGGGCACAGTAAGAGCCTCCTACACCTCCGGTTTTCAGGAGGAGGAGGGAGTAAGTGTTCGTTTGTGACTCGCTTGCCATTGCACCTAGTACCTTCTCACTGCTTTTTTTCCCCGTAAGAATTTATGCATGTGGCATTCCTCTGTCGTGAAATAGGCCAAGCGACGCAGGAAGCGATCGCCGAGCCCTTCTGCTTAATCTGTATAAGCCTGAGCCATGCACAGTGTCCAGTTGGCAGCTAAGATAATCAGCCTACAGGCAGTTTAAATGCTCGTTACAGTACATTTTATTCGTCAGTATTTAATAAGTAATGATTCTGAAAAGCTCGAAGCGTGGTCTGTGCCCGTACCGTCTCCTGCTGTGTTCCTGTCAGAATGGATAAGCTCAACCGGGTTGAATCTGGTCGATTTTTGGATGAATACCCACCAAGGAATGTCTAGGCGCCGTCAGAAGTTGCAGTTATCGAGTAGGAGGTGCTCTTTTGCTTGGCTTCGTCCTGCACAGTGCAAAACAGCGAGGCACGGCTCGGTGCTGGGAAGCCGGGCTGGCCATGTGTGCGCAGGCAGCGGGGAGCAGGGTCCCCTTCGCCGGGGTTGTGGGGGGTCACATCACCCTCGCACAAGCGGCTTCAGAAGGGGCCGTGCTGGCCGGCTGTGCCGCACGAGGGACAGAAGGGCGAGTTGTCCGGTGTCCCTCCACAAAGCGAGCCCCGAAGGCAGCGGCTCCCGGCCGGGGACAGCACACCGCCCTCGTCAGCCTCCGCGGCCCGCGGCAGGCTGGCACAGCCCGTGCTCTGCACCACACAGGGGCTGCTGAGCAGTCAGCGTCACTCGTGAAGCTCTGCAAAGTGGTAAAATAACCCTTACTAACAAAGCTTTACGAGCAGAACGATCCATCGCTGCAGATCCAGCAGCGACCCTTCAAAAGCAGATCGGAGTGAGTCTTTTCTGGAAAGAAGCCGTTCCCATTATCTCAGTGCTTTGGCAGTCGTGTCTGGTTGCTCATCCGGTGAACTTGCCGGGAGTTTGCAGCTGGTGGAGGATGCTCTGCTCGCACCGCGCCGCGCAGCACCTGGGGCCGGCAGAGCTCTGCCACGAGGACCGGACGCAGCCGAGGGGAAGCTCCAGCAGCGAGCGGGCGGAGGTTGTGGGGGGTCACACCACACCACACC